GGCCATTTGGAGAGGTGAAGGAAGACCCTCGGTTTTCACTAGAGAAATCGCCGTCGAGAACACGGTTCCCTCCAACAGGGTTTAGATATATACAAAGTAAATATGCGGACTGAAATCAGATAAACATTGCCACAAGTACGGTATAATCCTCTTTTATACATCTTTTCTATCTACAGTCATTATCATCAATAGCAAAGTGAGCTAAAAAGTTTTTCTCCTCTTCGTATTCAAACTGGTTCTTTTTCTTATTAAAGAGAAAATTCTCTCTCTGTCCTTTTCTTTTTCTTTTTCTTTATCCAAATGGTCGAATCTACAAAGAAGCACAAGAAGAGTAAATCAAAAAAAGGTAGACAGAATATGGAAGAATAATAAAATTCTGAAATGAAAGTAGGCCATAAAAAAAATAAGAAGGAAGGAAAGAAGCATTCCAAAACAAAAACCGAGAGTACTATGGTTAGCTTTACACAAGACGTGAGCAGCAAAAGTGTAGAAGATACAGTTCATGCTCAAGCAATTCCAAGAACTACGCTAACTGTAAAAGTAACCAAGACGGCAGAGGCACCATTACCTATACAAACTGCAGATCAACACATACTCATTCAACCACCAAAGGAATTTGTGCCTGGCAACGATTTGGGAAACGTTGGTAAAATTGGAGTATACCAAATCGCACATTCATCTGGTATCAGTGGTAGGCCCACTGTTGACATTCATTGGTTATGCTTTCTTGTTGTAGTAATCCTTTATTACATAAGACATCAATAATGACTAGACAAAAATAAAAATAAAAAAGTCCTCTTTCTCTCTTATGTCTTTTCATCAGGCACATGTCTTGACAATCGATTGTTGTGATCAACTTCATCAGGTACATTCCTTATCGTAGGCTCTTGTTGAGTATAATATCCTCCATCATAGCTATATTGTCCTACACTGAAATCATCTTTACTTGGATCATAAGCTGGGATAAAAGGTCTTGAAACAGCTATAGAAGTAGGTCGGCTATCGATAAATGTGGGTGATCCGTATCTTTCTGGAGGAAGAGATATATCTATTTCTTGATCTCTAGTTGTCTTCTTTGAATTCCTTTTTCTTAAAACGAAAAATCCTATGATGCCTGCATATACAGAAGCGAATCACGCGTTACCAATACATTTATGCAGCTTTTTTTATTTTTATTTATTTGTTACCGATCAGGACGATAAAAGCCACACCACCAACGACACCACCGGCTATGGCGCTCGAGTTCACGCCTGGTTGTTGCAAGGTTTCAAGAGTATTGGTAGGTACAGAAGTAGTGTACATACTATAGGACGTAGAGACAACTGTGAAGGTAGAGGTACCAGATCTGGTAACAGTGACGATAGGTATAGCTGATGAGGTTGTGATTATTTTACTGCTCCGAGTATATGTAACAGTGTTGCTTGTAGGCGAACCATCTGGTTTAGGCGTTGTGGGGATAGTATGTGGGCTAGTAGTAGTAGATGAAGTTGTAATATGATCTAGAATAAAGACATAAGATATATATATACATATACTTTAGAGCTTAGCATTATTTACCTAAAGTAGTCGTAGTACTGCTTTGTGAATCATTAGGTGTCGTGTTTACACTAGTTGAACTGTGATTATCAGTAGTAGTGGAAATGCTAGTAGTAGTTGTAGTAGTTGGAATAGTTGATGTAGGAGGGATTGAATCTGAAGTCGTACTTGGCTGAGTATTCCCTATTGATGTGGTAACCTATTATAAAAAATTGACAAACGGAATAGATCATAAAAATATTATGATTTTTACTGGAACTGTATTAGTCACAGATGATAAAGCTGATGTAGCTTGTGCTTCTACCGGAACTTGTATGCCTGAACCAGCATTATAGCTCATTATAGGATATAAAGAAATTAAAAAGAGGTAAATCTAAAATGAAAGGAGGGGGAAAAGAAGTTTAAAAATAACTTTTTTTTTTATAGCAAAAAAAAAAAAAAGGTCACCAGCCAAAGAATGAAAACTGTTTATTACATATTTTTTATTGTTCTTGCTTGGCATCATTTAAGCCCAAAAGACTCTCGATATTGTATTTCTTTAGTTTATGAAAATCATGTACAATAGATACCATTGCTATTGTCTGTATTATCGTTAGTCATTTGTACCAATCATGAGAGGAATACACAACTTACCTGACAGACTTCGACAATGATTGTATAATCTGGGTTTTCTAAATCAACTTTATGTCCTTCGGGCACAGTTGCTGCTAATGCCATTATCACATCCTTGCTGCTTAACTTGTTACAATTACGTATTCTACATACAATAGCGAACTGTAAATGAAGCATTAGTATCATGGTATTTCTTTAAATTATATGTATATTTACCTTCTTGGTTATCAGCTTGCCTTCATCATCTTTTTGCTCAAAGTAAGGAGGAAATAGCTGTTTACCATTGTTTATGATCTCTGGTAGATTAGCATGACACGTCTTTTGTATAGGAAGATATCTTGATATATATCTCGTTTTTTTCAACTGCTTTTCATGCATATCTGTCAGCATGGTATGAATCAAATTGACGGGTTCCACAGGATCTGTTGCACGAATGAACACCACTATTGTAATATTTTAGCAAATAGATCAACCCTTTCATGCGTACGTATAAATATTCTTTACAGCAATCTGTTCCTGTTGTGATATTAGCAAATCTTTTTTTATCTGATGAACTGTCTTTAATTTCTGCCACTTCTTTAGCAATTGACGCTTCAATGTCATCTTCTTCTTTTTCTTCCTTCTCTTCTTTTGGATACAATCTATCTGCATACTATAAATACTCTTTTTGTTTAGCAAGTCTCTCTATTAATTATATTCTTTGTTGTATACCTCATTCAACACGTCCATTGCTTCTTTTACTGCTCTACTTTCCTTACCACGAGTACAAGCGACAAGGACACCCTTCATTCCGGGTAAAAGGTTAAAAGCGTTTTTGGCTTTTGAACCAGAAGCTTCCTTTTTGATATAAGTACAATTATAGATGAAAAAGATGTATATCGTTTACTTTAGCGCAGTGATATGTCTTATTTCTCTTCTTTCGGTTGCCACCTTGAGGTGCAGCTCGTTTATTTGACATGGTGTAAATAGCAGAAAAAAAAGAGCAAAAAACAAAAAACTTTTTTCTCTTGTCAATTTAAAATTCAGCAAAACGCTCAAGAAGTATATACACTTCGCTTATCTTTTTATTATTTTCTGGTCCATCGTTACTAAATTGTAAATGGATATCTATGTTGATATGGCATCATCATTGCCATTGGCTGCTGTGTACCAAAGTAAGGCGTCATGGGAGGCAGAGGCGCCATGTTGGGCATCATCATGTGTGAGGGATAGGGTTGCTGCATCATATAAGGATTATTGTTATTATACATTCCATATGACTGAGCAGGCGGTGGCTGTAATTGAGGAGGAAGAGATGATAAAGGCAGAATTGGTGGTAAAGAAGGAGGCATGATGTATTGTTGTTGTTGATGCTGTGGATAATAAGGCTGAGGGTAGTAGTAATAGTATGATTCTGGTTGTGGTTGTGTATAGTACATTAACTGCTGTTGATCAGGGTCGTATTGTTGTTGCTGGTGGTGATTCCTATACCATTGATAAGCTAGTGCCAAAGCCCCTGCAAGGCCTGCATTTCTCCACAGATGAGGATGCTTTCCTTCTTCCCCTTCTACTTTGTTTAAAAGAGCATCAGTACCAGCAAAGGTTGCTGCATTCACTAGCCAATCCATCGGTCCTGAACCCAATAGGTTGCCACTGTGATTTGGCTGCTGATGCTGTGCAAGATAGTTTTGAAAAAAATTAGCAGCCAACGAATTCATTATTTAAAAGAAGTATGAAAAAAAAAAGGGCTTCCCCTCTCTCTCTTTTTTTTTCTTTTGTTTATTGACATGTTCCTAAAAACGTAATAGGTATACTGTATTTGGATATGTTCAAATGACATCAGTTGCACAGCCGTAAACCAGTTTGCTTAATCGATTGGTTAAACTAAGCTAAGCTTGAACTAACTACAGGCATTAGAGACGAATAGACCTAAATTTTTAACTTGTTTATAATATAGAAACGAGGTTTCTTTCACTCTTAAAGTAATATCAATGTATCCCCCCTCTAACATTAAAAAATGGTCAATCAAAAGCATCCAAGATTGACTTTTTGAACTGATAGCCTGTGTTGTGCTTCATTTCAATATCAATTGTTAATGTACGGTCAACTGATTTGTCTTTTGGATTCAACAGTACTTTTTTTAACCTTGAGTAATACACATATTTTTATGAATAGTCCTTTTGTATAAAATGAGTTAAATCAGTTCCACAACTTGCTCAAAAAGTGAAGTATGCCCTGATAATAATAAAATGATTATGATCACACGTATATGGGTGGATCCTTTCTTTAGTTTTTTTATTTTAAAATGTAGAAAATACTTGGTCTCTACGTTTATAGTATTCATTAAATCTAAGCACAGCATATTCCATATAGTTAAAGTCAATGTCAGATACCATTGCCTGTATCATTGCCCATAATCCCCAGTAAAAATGTGAAACTAGTGAGAAAGCATTGACTTCTGTATACATCTTTTCCTTTTCTTCATCCGTTGGTTTAACTATACAGGGAGAGTCAGAAAGAGTAATACGAATACTACTTGACTTACCTCCTATAGATTCAGTAAGGTACCAGTCAAACCATTTCAATTGGAATTCTTTTGTTGGGTATCTCCAATATTCACAATCAAAGCCAGCAAATTCATTAAAGTGGTTACCAATATCAAACCCTCGATAAGCATAGCAGCCGTATTCGTAGTCAATAAAATGAGCTTCTTCTATACATATGTATATATATAATGAGTAAGCCAAGGATATTTGTAAAAAAAGCTTACCATGATCGTCATCATAAATAATATTTCCATACAACAAGTCATTATGAGAGAATACAATAGGAGAATCGATCTTTTTTAGATTTTCAACCAAATGATCCAACTATAAGCCATGTTAAAAAAGAGATTTGTATTGTGTTACATTTATATTACCTCAGCTCTAACTTGCTTCATATCAAAATGTGTTTGAAATAGGGTTTGTATTTTTTCATCTTTATAACTTGATGGCACTTGATCCAACCATTTATAGATGGTTGACCATAGCTTTTGATCTTTTTTACTTGTCTTTGGTAAAGTTACTTTATGCCATTTGGCTAACTTCGTTGCTATCCATTTTGCTGATTTATCTTGAGCCAATTCCTCTACTGTGCTCACTCTACCCTTAATAAATCCATATACCAAACCATTTTTAAATCTGGCATATAAAGGTGGACACATACTTTGTGAGCAAAGCGTAATGATGTTCTTTTAAACTGTCAGTATTTTCTCTTTCTCCCTTTATATTCACTATACACAACTTACAATAACCTCTTGATTACGATCAATGATAAGCTCTGATCCTTTACCATAAGCTCTTACTAAAACAGAAAAGTCTGTTGGTCGATGCGTTACTTTTACCACTAAAAAGTAGGGTTAAAACTTGTTTTGAGTATCCATGTGCTTCTTACATTGATTTGTTATTCCATCTTTGCATTGTACAAATTCGATATCTTGACGTTTCCAAGTAGGGAATACGTAGGAAACGATTTGAAAGGCTCCGTTAAACAAATCGGAACTGCTTATTTCATATTCAAAATAAGGAGTTCTTTCGACAATACGGTTAAATGAGTCCTCTATTAGTGATGTGGTCGTCTCTGTATCAATACTTGTATTAGGTGGCATCCCTACTTAATAAGAAAGAAGAAAAAGGAAGGGGGGATGTATTAAATATGTGTAAATGTT